GACGGCGTCGTGTATAGTCTTATACGCGTGCAATTATGTTACTTCCGATTCGCAAATAATAATTCATCAATGCGACTAAAGTGTGATGCAAAAAGAATTCCGTCTATGAATTCTTATATATTGTGCACTTTGGTAGCCGGGCGATAGATAAAAATGTCACGCGCAAACAATTACATTTAACATTAAAATAGTTTATACCTAAACTACAGTTCTTAAGTCCGCCTTTTCATTTTCTGGTTAACTTATGGTTTATATGTTTAACTTAAATCTTATCTGATTATGATGTAAAAATTGCGTTTTGCTATTTATTTGTAATTATAGTTATAGCATTAAACTGATGGATTTAATTTAAAATTATCACTATAAAATCATCAGTTTAATGATTAATAATTTTGATTGAGCAAAACGCAATTTTATATTATCAGCAGATTAAGCCTAAACTACAAGTAAACTAGAAAATGAAAAATCGCGCGGGCTTTAGAAAAGAGCTATATCAACTCTTTTCTCACAATTTCATAAAATTGAAAATTTGCAGAAGAAAATTACAAGTCGTATATTCTAAACATTACACATTGAGAAAAAACTCTATAATTGAACAACACTGTTAAAAAATTGTAATCATTGTTTACGATAAACCCCTGTATCAATAAATAAATCGTGTGTATAAAGGATATATATATTTCTGCGTCTATTTTACCGAATGAATATTGCTCGTCGGAAACAACGTTATTTGTCAAAGAGAACAGCTTCTGCGAGATTCTTATTACTTGACATTTACAGCTTTATCACGGCGAAGTGATCTCCAATCTTCGACGTGCGAAGTGCCTAAGTACCCGTTGACACATCCAGTTTGCGCGATACATACGTACACACGTATATGCATGCCTCGCACGGTGCGTAAAGCAAAGCGTGACGTGTGTCACTCGCGCACAGGAATTTGCCTTCGCGGCTTTACCGGATTTACCGAGACACCTCGTGAAACACGCCCATGTTTGACTTAGCTTTTGAGTTACGCCGAAATTTTCACAGAAAGTCGCCGCCGTCACAGAGAGACCGACACTGACAACGAGGCCGGCCGAGGAAGTGGAAAGACGACGAGGACGACGTGTGTTCGTATAGGACTTATCATCCCGGTGTAACGACGACGGGCCGCGCCCGACATGGGATGGAATAGATTGTTTGTCGATTTTTACTCACCTCCCCCGCCATAAAGCCGTCTGCGAGCGGCGGAGCTCGGCTCGTAAAATGTAGCGAGCCGAGCTGACAGCGGCACAACACGCGTTTAAGTGCAAACAAACTTTCTCGCAAGTAAATCGCCCAATGTTCAGGCCAAAACGGAAGTTCGCCTGGAAAAAAACTCGGCGCTTTTGCAATGATCCCATTGATATATAAAAAAACAAAAAATTTTTTGTTAATTAAAAAAATTCTGTATGCATTTCTGCAATAAAAATAACTTTTGTTCCAATAAATAGATAAATAATAACATTTTAATTTTCTAGTAAAACGATAGTTTCAAGATATCTTGGTACTGTTTCAAAGACAGAATTAGAAAAATGATATGCAAAAATCATAATACATTTATATATTAATCTGAAGTACTTTTTAATAAGTTTTTAATAAGTAATGATAGAAATATCAAAAGATATTTTACTTTGTTTTGTGATAAATAATAAATTTAATTCAAATAACGATCATTTTTTATTTTATAAAAACTTTTATTTATAATAATATGTGTAAAAATAAATTACAATTTTATAAAATTATTTTTATTGAAAATAATTTAAAAAAGCATTAGAAAAATGTAATAATATAATAATTACATACAGCAATTAAAGATTAATGTAAACGATATATATACGTATATATATATATATATATATATATATATAATATTATATATTATATATATATTAATATTTTCATATTAACTTTTTTCTGCAAAAAAATGCAGCATAAAGTTTAGTCATCACGAAATTGTCTTATCTTCATTTATTCGCAGTTACATGCTGTTTGAACTGTAGTGCACAGATGGTTCCCGTCAAACAAAGGTTTTTTTTTCTTTCACAAAGGATTAATATAACATAGTGGACATTGTCAATATGCTTTAAGTTGCTTAAAGGCACGCTTAAAGTTTGTGTCTTCTGACCTAGGCTTCAGTTTCCTTGGAATTATGAATATTTATATTTCCTAGTTTACAATCCATTGGACTTATATAAAAGTTCAACATAAAATTTAAAATGGCAAGACCATTCCTGTTCCTTTTACCATTTGTTTTATTTCTTCACGCACGTATAGAAGATATCGCGCTATCTAGATAAAAGTATTAGAAGACTATAAATGTGCGTGAAGAAACTAGCAGTTGGTATAAATATCATCATTGCGTTTAGTGCAAATTAATTTAAAAAAATTTTTTTCTTAATATATATTTTAATAAAATCTATAATTATTAGATGTGTTGAGAATTTATTTTATGATTTTATTATATAAATTGTTGCTTCTGAGCAGATAAGTTAGCCACTGTCGGCCATATACCGTTAGAAGCATCTCTTCCAGAAAAAAAAGATTTAATGCTTCAGTCGATATTTCAGCCCAGGCTGAAGTATGCATTATATATTTTAACATAATAAATATTATTGTGAATTTAAATTGATTAATAAATTGGCATTATAGCTATTGCAGTTTTACATGTTTTGTAAAATTTATTGTATTTTTGAAAGATCAAAAGAAAAATATATAGGGTTAATGAGAGCCAAGTACAGAGTTAGGGACGCAAAACTATATTTAAAACTATATTTAAAAATCAAATTATTTTAAACGTTTTGACTCCTCTTCTGATCTCTTCAGTGACAATACAAAATTTTAGGTACATTCGAATTATTTCTCGAGCTCCAAGTAGAAATCAAAATTGATCATAAGACCATAAGTATATCACTCACTTTAATTCCAGGTTTCCTAACGTAAATGAAAATAATACACACTGTAACAAGACGACACAACCATTCAATTAAACATAAAAGATAGACTTTAAGAAGTCGAGAAGAACGTAATAAGAACATAGATTATGTAAGATACAAAATTAAAAATTAATAAAACGACTTTTAAACGAAATTAAAAGACAGTCAATTGTTGTGACAAATAGAAAAATAATAAAGTTGTTATTGTGAAAATTTAAGCCACAATGAAAAATTATACTATGATATTTTAAAAATATTTGCTATAAGAATATAAGCCTTGTAAAACATGACTTTAAAATTTACTAAAGCTACAAAAATTGGAATTTATAATTTTTAATTAATATAAATTAATAAAAAAATTATTTTCGTGTATAAATATTAAACATAATTTAACTGTAGTATTCTTAATTAATGTCATTCTATAATTAATTTCATTCTTGTAAAACACTATCAATGAACACGTTACAGTCTGCTTTACCGTTTTTCATACTTTTTTATTTCAGCTTTCTTAATATAATTTACAAAGTTGCTTAACTTTCATATAAATCTAAAAATAGGGATACTGATATGAGAAATAAACTAATAACGTAGAAAATAACAGGAGATTGATCGCTCGCACGTTTGTAATTTTCGATGCAGGCTCTCGTTGTACATAGTATTATATATTGTACATTGCATGAATCACTATACATTAAATTGTGTCGCAAAGTGCACCAAATGTGTCTATTTGCATTCTTGTTTCTTTTCGTTTCTTTACGTCTCTTCTTCGTCGCTCTTCTTAGTTTTGCGTTCTTTTTATCGCTATCACACTCGCTTTCACACATATACACACACGCGCGCGCTCGTACATTTTTATTCTCTTTCTCACATACATATAAAAAATTACATTTGCGTGTTTGAAACATAGATTAACTTTATCATTATTTTAAGTCATATCTGGATGGAGTTTTAGTATTTAATTTCACGGCCACTTTCATATACATACACAACTTTCATACATAATTATTGTAACCTTGAACACGTGATATAATCCTGTTGTTAATAATTATAATTGTGTTTCTAATTAGTACTGTAACGTTCGAATTCCACATGTTTGGAAAATTCGTAAAATATACCTAAAGTAATAATTACATTATTATTATTACACATATAAAACGTTACGCAAATAGTCTCATGTACAATTACTCGACTATTCGAATGGCGAATGTGAAACACATTCATATCAGCTATTTATAAAATTCATGGGATTCCTCTCACAACGTTTCGCTGCCATTAAAGTAGCTTGGAAATAAATTAAATTAATTTGTTTAAAAAATCGAATTTGGAATACATCTTTAATAATAATATTTTAATAATAATTTAACATATAGTTACATATATAATTTTATACTCATACAATCAGAAGTATAATATAATATTATAAGTTATTACATTATAATATTATAATATTATAATATTAGAAGTCTCAAGAATATGAATATTAATTTAATTTATTTCAAATAATTTCGCGCAAAACGAAACGTTGTGAAAATAACTGTTCGCAGTTATTTTATACAGTTTCCTTAACGGAATATTGAATTTTCAGTATTAATGAAGTATCTATGTACTTTATAATTAAGAGAAACGACGATACATTGCTAATAGTAAATATTTGTTCAAGCATAGAGTATATCCATTTTGTACCCAATTTCGTTGTATTTTTCATCCGTATAAACGCGCGTTAACGCACAGTCGGTCGGAGCATTCGAACATTCGAACACGTTCGAAATCTTATTTAATCACAATGGACACATTTAAAAACGGAAAGCTATTCTAGAATATATATTCGAGGGATTTTCGTTCTTACACATGGATTCTTTGAAATCCCCTGAAAAGAAGGTATACCTTTGTGTTGTAGGCGTTAGAGGCCGTAGTCCAAAAGGATCGCCTCTGCGGTTGGACGGTGTACGAGTTTGGGTCTCACAAAAGGACCATTAATGCTTCCTCGCGTCGAGGGCATGAGGAGGGGCGGAAAGGGGGAGAGAACGGGGGGGGACAGGGGGAACAAGAGGGGAAGAAAAAAATATTGATATTCGTCTAGGGTCGGAATATTTTTAGAAGGGAAAAAGCAGCAGCAGCAGTAGCAGGGAGCAGGTATTTCGCGCGCGGATCGAGCAGGTACAAAGCCGTATTGCACCTGCCACGGTGGCACAGGCACAGGTTATTACCCCGACCGCAAAATTTGCATTATCCCTTCTCCCGAACAACTGCGGGACAAAAGAATACTTCTTCTCGCCGTGATCGCAGTTTTCTTAATATCATCTGGTCTCGTCTTTCCCTATTGCATCGTTATCGTGATTCACGCGCGTCGCAGGAAAGCATTGTAGCTTCTATTAACTGTAGCATGAAGCGAGAGCACCTGTTTTTGTATTTTGTAGCGACAAACTATTAAGGCACATTTTTGGTATGTACTTGTTTAACCGTCTCACTTCTACGAAATTATCTCAATATTGTATTCCAAGTTATATAATAATAAAAAATATCTTTTTTTGCTTCACGTTACATTTGAAAGAACGTTTCGTCTAATACGTAATACTTAATTTTTATAATGTATATAAAATTATTATTTTGTATATTGTATGAATTACGAATATACAAAATTATAACTTTATAATTTATTTCTCTATATTATTATATTGGACATAACAAGATGTAATATACAACCGCATTTGGATTGAGAGAGTTAAGTTTTTCCGAGTCTAATAACTATTTTAGAATCATGCACGCAGATTTTTCAAAACAATTATGAAGACTTTTTCTAAAGATTTTCATTTGCTTATTCGTATATTCAAACTCTCTCATATCAATTCTCGCATATTTGCATGAAAAAATGTATTGCAATAATGTGGATAATAACACGTAAATAAGATTTTTCTAGCAAATTTAACAAGCTATTAAACATATTCTTACCAAAAATATCGTAGAATTCGCATGAAATCTTTAGAAAGACTTTATTCTTTGTGGAAGACCGGTACCTCTCCTTCATAATCCATAGAGCTTACGAAAAAGAAATTCAAGCACAGGAAAACTACCTGCGACAAATTTTCTATCGACCCATTATATCCGCGATAGTGAAACCCTGGCGCGCTGGTGCGGGCCTAGGCGGTGGTGGCGGTGGCTGAGGTGTTGGTGCCCTCGGTGGTCTGGCTATTTCTTTGTCACGCTCCCTGTTACGCTCCCTTTCCCTGTTCTGCTCCATCTCCCGTTCTCTCTCGCGCTCGCGCTCCTGAAGCTCCAGGAATACTCTGGAAGGACCTGGCGAGCCCATTCTTCGTCGGTAAGAAGTCAGAAGCGGGGGTGGCGGCGGGAGGGCAGCCGGTGGGTTCTGGGTGACAGAATGAGCCGCGGACGCGCCGCTGGTCACCGTCGATGTCTTCACAGCGGGTAATAGATCCCTTCTGATCTGAAGCTGAGGTCTCTGAGGAAGCGGTGGTGCTGAGGCCGACGTTGTAGGCGCGGATGGCGGGACTGACGATCCTTGAGAAGGATATCCGGACGAACTAGAAGACGCGGAAGATACAGACGGTGTTGTGGAGGTCGATGAGGAGGACGGTCCGGGCTCAGGGCAATCCTCTTCGGGACTGTCATCGTCCCGCAACGCCTCTTCCAACGCCTCTGGAGGAACATCGCCCACGGCGTGTGTCAATGCGTGTCTCCTGAGATCGCAGTTTCTGCGAAACACTTTGCCGCATGACGTACATTCGTAAGGCTTGTGGTCCGTGTGTGTTAAGAGATGAGTCTTGAGATTGCTGCGCTGATTAAAACTTCTCGAGCAAACAGGGCATTTATGTGGAGATTCTTCCATATGCAAAATCTTGTGAACTGCCAGAGTACGGCTCTGACAGAAGCCCTTACCACATTCGCCACATTTAAAAGGCTTCTCCTTGCTATGAATATACCTAAGGAAAGAAAGATGAAAAATGTTTTAATAAATAAAAACGTCTACTATTCTATAATTTGAAGCTTGAAAAGTTTGAAGTTTCATATTTCAAAATATATTTTATCTGTCAAATATCTGTTATCTTCATTTGCTTATATTATTAATTTTATTACAGATGCTTAATATTACGAGACAAATTAATTACAATATAATTAATTACAATATAAAAAATTTAAATAAGTTAATTTATTATTCTTTTTACGTGATACGCTATAATTAATTAATATAATTCACTCAACTGATTATGATTAATTTAAAGACTGCGTATTATACCTATGATCTCTGAGATGATCCTGCCGCCTAAACGCCTTGCCACATATGTCACAGGAATACGGCCTTTCGTCGGTATGAGTTCTCTCGTGAATGAGAAGATTGTATGATTTCGTGAATTGTCGATTACAGAATTTACAAATGAACTGTTTCTTCGGTCTGGATGCCCTGCCAGGTGCTCTAAGTAACCTTCGGTCCAGATGCTGATGGGTTAATGGACCACCCGGGGGATATAAGGCAGAACTACCAGGAAAGGGACCGGCAAATACCGGATACCCAGGTGGTTCGAGGAGAGGATGCGATGGGGCTAGTAAAAGACCTCTCGCTAATTCTTTCCTTTTGTCTGCCATCATCGCCATGATGTCATAACTCGAGGAGCTTTTTCTGGCTACTGACGATTCAGGACCGACTTCGTGCTCCGAGTTCGTCGACGATGAGGAAGAGGGCGGCGGTCCGGGTAGATGGGGATGAATTTCACCTGGATACGGGGTGAGCTGTAATCTTGAAGGCACCACAGGCACAAAGGCTGACGATTCTCGGTGATGAGCATGACCCAGACCGGTTACGGCCAAGCTGTGACGATGATGATGATAGGCGGCAAGAGTACTGGGATCGAATCCTCTTGAGGTTGACGCGGTGGAACTGGAGGATGAAGCTGCAGAAGAGGGGCCTGATCTTGGAGACTGTCCAAGGCCTAGGTCCCGACTTCTGCTGGTCTCCTCTGAAACCGTGGCCGAGGCCGACGTAACTACGATGTCAGTTGGCATATTGATTGCACCTAAAAGAATATAAAAAAATGCGTTATTAATTACGTTGATAAATGAATAAAAAAAGTAGTACGATAACAATAAAATCAACTCTTCATTTCATCGAACAAGTGATCTATTTGTGATTATACATTTCTAAATTTCTATATTTTAAAAAATATTAAATTAACTCGTCAATGTTTACAATAATTATAACCGAGTAAATCTAAAAAACATAATATATTTTCCAAAATTTTTTTAATTTTAAATAAATGTTATTAAAATTATCCATTAAATATTGGTGCTTTTTAAATATTACATAAAACATTGAATTTTCATGTTTCTATATTACACAATTTCTATAAATCTATATAAACGTTAAAATAGCTTTGCTTATGAGAAAAAGTTCAAACAAAAAAACATACTTAAGAAAATGTACGTATCAAACATTGAAAATAGTTTTAAAAAATTCTGGATTATTTTATTTTGATAATATTATAAGTTGCTATACATTTTTCATAAATTTTCATACAGACATACAATATACCGATATATTCATTTATGCCGAATTTATATAGACGCACAAAAAATAGAATTGGTAAATCAAGGAATGCGTTAATTTTCAAAGGTGGACGTACTTACACTGATAAAAATAATTTTTCTGTCGTCGTTAAATGACGGCGCGATCATTTTACATTAATTTTTTTTTCACGTTCGTGGTACGCTGAACATTCCTTGACGCGCATTAACTCTCTACCTGTTTACTTAAGAAATAGAGAGTCGTAGTGATCGGCAGTTTATTCGTGAATTTTACGAACGTCTAATGGACATCGGGAGAACCACTGTGTACCAGCTCATCGTAAACTTTCGCAATCGTATTGGAAATGGGTACGGGCGGCGTTTAAAGAGGCTTTTTCTTTTTATTAATCACATCTCGCGTACTCGTTTTACTTGCGAAATCGCGCGTATGTCGTTTCGCAGGTGGGCTTTTCGAAGGGCGGCAGACGCGCGGCGATTTAAATGATAATTCAATGGTAAAGGGCCCATTCCATTTTGCTATTCGGAGTATCGGTGCCACGTACGTTTTACGTGAACGTGAACTGGTTATCTCGAGCCGAGCACACCTGCCAACATGGCTTCCGCGGGCCCAGCGGTCACGGCTAGTCCCAGCAGCAGCCATGTTGGAATCGCGCAAATGTCCGTAGGGACGCAACGAGACAGACATGCGATTGCCCTGCGACTTCCTCTGGGGACTCCCTCCTCCCCCCCTCTCTCCCCGATTTATTCGCACCTGGGAGAAATCTCTTTCTCACCTGGAGGACGTTGACGGAGAAGCCTTCCAGGTCTCCCTTTCAGTGTCCTCCAACAAGCCACCAACGCATCTCTTCCTCCGCTCGAAATCCCTTACTGGCCGACGGTCCGGTGATCAGCGACGGAAACATCCGTTGTAACTCCACTTACGTCGGGCATCCACTTACGGCACGTACGGGAACTTCCAGAGGATCTTCGCGCGTATCACTCCTTATCTCTCTCCCGTGTACACGTAAACACACATACACCACACGCGGCAGCCGTGGGTCGCCAGTAGAGGCAAGCAGCGCGATTCCTCCCGTCGCACTTCCGATCCTACTCCGATCTCCGTCCGGTGAACCGCGAAAGGAGCAGAGCGCGCGCGGCGACGCGCTCGTCTCTCCCAAGGTCGGTACCCTAGGATCCCAGCTCCGCGACTCCGAATTTCGAGAGAAACGACAAAACCGGAGCAGGATGACGGATACACACGCGCGGCGCGCTCTTTCCTGCGGGAGAACGCGAAGAAGCGCGCGGGTAACTGCGTGTTGGACGCCGCCAGGTAGGCTTCCACGGCTCACACACCCACGCAAGTGAGGCTCATGTACACCTCACGCGTACGACACACACATACACATCGGCGCGCGCACACACCTATACACCAGGGCGATTCGCCTGGGAGTCTTTCCGTTTGGCTGCCGCTAGTAGCGCTGCTGCTGGATGCTGCGCTGCGACTGCCTCACTCTCTGGAGAGCCGCCTTTGGTGCGAGAGAGGCGGGTTCCGGTCGGCTTGCGGTCGCCAGAGCGAGACCGACAGGTATAGGCTCCCAGAGAGCGAGCGCGGTGAGAGGGTGGACCGAGGGCACGCGCGGGGGTTTGCTGGGGTATCCTATCTACCAGTGCCTATGAGGCGATGCCGCGCAGGTTGAACGCAGGAGAGGTTTAGGTAGGGACGTGGTATGAGGGGCAGGTGCGTAAACGCGAAACCCGGCACCCTCTCTCTCTCTCTCTCTTTCCCTCTCACGGTCCAGTTCTTTCGCCGCTACCGTGGAATTTCCTCACCTCGGTGCATTCGATGCTCAACCGCGCCCGATGTAAACGACGTTAGATTCTCGTCCAAGATACGGTTCTCGTAATTTGGTAGAGTGGAAGGGAACCGTTGCATCCGCGGGCGCTTTGGCCAATTTCTACGTTCAAGTCAACGCGTTCACCGCGCGTATCATACGCTCTCCTGCCTATATAAACTCCGAAACTTCTCACTGTATCACCGTACTATCGCCGCAATCCATCCTCCGAAGATCGGAGCAGCGCTTCCACGCGCTTCTCGCGAAGATAACGAAAAGCGTTACAGACGCGTTTGTCGCCGCGCTGCCAGGTAGGCGGACGCGAAAACCGTGAGGCAGGTTGTAGTAAAACGCACCTGTGAGAAACCCGCGCCACGCCGGCACTGACGAAGGAGATCGGTCTCTGGTAGGCGGAAAGGGGAGTGTGGTCCGTGCACCCCGCCGCCAGCCAGAGGCAGTCAGAGAGATCGAGTCTCGGTCCTCGTCTCTCGTTCGCTCTCTCCCCGTCTTCCTCGATCTCTCCTTCGACTCACGTTCCGTCTTCCTTCCTCATCTTCAAGCCGTCCCGCTTCCACCTTCGGCTTCTTCGTTCCTTCGGACTGTACCCCGCCATACCGGCGCAACGTTCGCTTCCCCGCGCGCGTTCCCACTGTCCTTCGGCGTTTCCTTTTTCTTTTTTCCCCCTTTCCGTCTCTTTCTACTGGCAGCAGCCGCCGACGCCCAGCCGGTTTTACACCGGCAAATCGATTCAACCTTACGTACGTCTCGCTGGAGCGAACGCCCGGTTCTAGTTCACGGATTCCGGAATTTGCTCCAGTTGGATAGAATAAACGGCGCGATTGTCCGTCGTGGATGAGCCGTGTTGTTTAGACTGATTTGCACGAGACATGTATTCCTTGCCGCTATATTAAGCGGCCTTTTTTTCGACGTTTAACCAGCTATTTTTATGTCTACCGAGTAATGGAGTTTTAGATCCATAAAGACAGAGGAGAGGGAGAGGGAGAAACGCGGCGGCCACTTACAACGATTGGCTTCTCATTTAGTTCAGCATTTGCCGTCGTTTTATTCTTGTCAGGCGGAATAGTCGCTCCAGATGCTCGACACTGGTAAAGACTTTCTGCAATAAAGCGTTTCCATTTATTTACGATGAATTTTCAAACCGCAACCGATTATGAAATTTGCGCGATATTATTTTAATAACTACAATAGTTTATATGAATATATATGTATTATTTGTCACGCAATCAATTGGTTTATTTATGTAATAAATAAAAATTCTGATATTATTATCTGTCATTTAGATTAAAATTCATATAGGCGTCCTCAGATTATTTGATTTTATTTAATTTAGATTGGTTAAATTAATTTGTAAATGTTCCTAAAAGATATTAAAATAAAATCAAATAGATTTTATAAAAAAATAATGGCAACGTTTATTTTCTGGCGAAAAGTCGCGTTTGCGAGCAAATTCGAGTGGCGAATTTGATCCATCGATCGACCGACCCCGTGGATGTCAGATCGAATTTCTCAAGCAATGCTGCTCCGTCAGCTGGCTCCGATCAAGAAGTAATCGACTAAAAATGTTTCCTTGTATTCCTTTATTCTTTTGGATAACGTCTCGAGGATAATGTCTCACCTAAATGATAACTTATGCCGATATGTGTTATCATGCCTCAGTCATTAATGGATACTGATAAAAGGAAAGGCTGTTATCGAAACACGTAGCGGTACCAGGCAGCACAGTTTAACGTTATCTTTATTTTCCAATAAATAACACGTACATCACGTGTATCGCAACTTGTTATTTTATTTAGCAGTATCTTATAAAAGTTAAACATATTTTCACACACGCACAGAATGTCAATTAATTAAAGAATTTACAAGTCCTCTTTCTCTCTTCATCATTTTTCAAATCAGTTAAGTATAACTGTTGCTCCTTGGTTTCCCTGTACTGTTATATAAAAATCTGTTCTGGCGAGTGCGAAAGTTGCGTGCCGCAATTCTGAATAAGTGTGCAAGAACGTGGCACAAAAGGCCAACAAACGAAAGTACTTTGCAACGCCTGAACATGTCCTCCGTGATCGCAATATCGATTTTTTTTCCTCACATTCAATTGCAAGCATATATGTTATCCGTGTCCACGTAAAGCCCAGTGCATGGCATCGCCAGCTCTTTCGATTTTTCTTCTTTTTATTGGCAAATCTCATTGTCGAAACATTCGGGGTGGTTGTGGGAGAGGGTATAATCGAGTAGTGTCGTATTATAACGCATTATAACTTGCGTGTCGAGAGAACCGCCGTCTACTTGGCACAAAAACCATTCTGGGACTGGGTTACGCTATACCAAAGCGCGACGTCGTAAAACTCACCGGCGCGGCGGTGTCGTGGCTTCCCGTAAAACGGGCACGCGGCGCGGCGCGGCGCGTATATGGAAATTGATAGCACGTATTTCTGTATGACCACGCCGCCTCAGCTTTTCAAACGCCCCGTGTAGCCGCGCACCGCGCGAGTTGGAACGTATACAGGACGTATAGGACGTATAGCTAAGTACGCTAGTAGGACCCGGCCTGGTTGTCGGACGATCTTCAAACGGTCATTTGGTGAATTCATTTCGCGACTCGTTCCGACACGGGTAAGATACCTGAAAGGGGACAAAGAGACACGGATGAACGTTGACGAATCGGTCGGCGCGATCGCGTGTCGTAACGGTACGCGATGACGTACATCATCTCTTTTCCTAAAAGGTCGGGACGACGCCAAGTACAAGGCCGCCTTGACTATTCCCGCGTGAGAAGAAGAATCGCGCTTGAATGGGCGAGACTTTATATATTTACATAGCATTAGCCTTTTGTAGCAGAATGCAACGTGTGAATGGCATCGGCGCGTCATTGTTTCGGGCTCCGATTGATGCTACGATTCTCTCTTTCTCTCGGCTTCCCGACGTCCACGTATGCTAATTAACGGATAGTACCTGTCAGGCTAAGTTGTTGGCGTGAGACAAAAGTGTCATGTTCGTTAAGAACAAAATTTCGGAAGCTGTCATGGAAATTTTTGCAGGTCACTAAAATCTATAGTTCAAATCGTTCCGGCACCTTCCTTGGCTCAACTTTTATTTCCTTACTTGCAAATTTTAAATAGCTAGTTTATTTTAATAGTCTCAGTTATTACGCGTAATACACACGCCTCCTTTATTTGATAATATCTTGTGGATGGAATATTGTTTATACTCTGTAAATCTGTCAAACGCGAAAGGCCATGTTGGTCTTTATAATACGAGTTTTATCAGAAAGGTAAACTTTTGCCATTCTTCTTAAATAATTTTAATATTCATAATAATGATAATACAGTAATGTAATGACGTTTAATAAGAAAGATGTGATAGATATAAAACTCAAGTTTCTTCTAACTCGAAATTATCTTTATTTCTCAGTAGATCCTGAGTTATATAATAAATCTATCTTTAATTTAATAGCTACAAACGTACCATAAATAAACGAAAACTACAGATTTAAGATTGTCAATAGCGTACTAAAAGTGAGAACTTTTTAAAAGTTAATCGTTTTTGCGTTATTCTTAAAAATTTTGATGTTTCACGTTTTCTTTCTAAACATGTACGATCTACAATTGAAAGACTCGGTGTAAAAACCGGTTAGCTTCATTTTTTTTCGGCTAAAACTTTTCAAGTTTAAACGTAGCAAACATTTAGATTTAACGTAGCAAATATATCGCGTCTTCTTTATGTAAGAAACAGACAGCTTCGACAGCTTCGAACAAAGTGACTTTTGCGTATTTCAATGGTTTTCATAAAATATTTCACATGATATATTTGGGAAAACCATTTTTTTGTTAAGATTGTAGTAAATTACAAAAAATGGAGCCGTCCGATTTTTTGCACCGAACCCTTCAGCTTTGCAGAAAAAGGGCGGTGCAAAAAATGCGTCGTACAAAAACGTAATATGCGTGGACGCGTCCGGTAGACGCAGTCTTCAACGTTCGTAACATGATTGCGAGGCATAAAGGCAAACTTGAAGCTCATGGCTGCGATATAATCCGAGATGCGTGTCGCGAGAGTTCTTTCACCGCAACCCGTTAAACTTCGCTCGAAGGTATCCCAGCAGCCTAATATAAAATTAAAAGAGCTCTTCATACGTGTGTCGCGCGTACGGGGAATATCAGGGTTAAAGCTCTCTTCTCTCGCATCCGCGCGCTCCCATGCGATCAGCGAGTACCCGTGCAGGCGCGCGAATACGACGCCGCCGAAGCGTTGCTACAGCGTGCAACTGCCTCTCACGTCGTTTTGTTCACTGAACTAGTTCCCTCTCCTCTCGCCTCGCCGATTCATTCCATCACTACCAAGCTCACAATCTTACCCACCACTATACTACCTGCTGTATAAGCCCACCACCGTGTCTCACCATCACATCGACCACGGTGACCAACACCACTACCATCATCATCACCAAGCGCGCCGTTGTGCGGCCGCAACAGCGCGATGCCCACAGCAACGTCATCGAGATCACCATCTCGCTAGGAGACGGAACGAGAGATGGAGGTGATGCCGAGAGAGACGGCGAGCGGTGTTCAAGTGAGGATTCCACCGAATCCGTCGAATCACCGTGGAATTTCGAGCGGGAAGACGTGCCAGCCGGTAATACGAGGTGTTCCTGGGATAATTATCTCCGTTCCTCGCATAATTATATACTTTTTTTTTTCTTCAATCGCATATTACATTCGTCGCAAGTCGCGGGGGGAACTCGTGGAAACTCCACTTTGTAGACGCGGCACGACGACTTGCCGGCGAAGAGGAGAAAGCTAAGGAGAAAGAGAGAGAGAGAGAGAGAGAGAAAGAGAGAAAAAAAGAGAAAGAACAACGTCGAGCGCGTCGTGAATGTAAGCGCAACGGATGATGCGAGGAGTGGACGGCGTGGAGCGCGCGCGCAGGCCTCGAAGTACGAAGAACACGGGCCGGCCGCCGCATACCTACACGACGCGTAATGAGAACATACCAGCATCGTTCGGGCCTGCTATCTGCTATCAAACGGATACCACCGGTCCAGCCACGGACGAAGCGCGCAACGCGCCCCAAGCAAGGGGGCCCAAATTTATCTTGCGCGCATCGCCGCGCCGCGCCACGCCGCACCCGCTCTTAAAAATCTCGCTCGCGATATTTCATTGCGATCATCGTAATTGAGATCTCGGCTTTTCAGCTATTCGTTCAGCGGTTACCGTCCGACTCGCCGCGCGGATATATGCATTCGATCGATCGTGCCCTTCGATCGTGCGCCGCCACGTCGGGTCTTAATCATAACTCCCGATGATGACTCTCGCCACGGCGGGCTTCGTGGCGACGACGAAACGGAATCGTTTCAGTGTCACTGAAACTGTTTGTTGCTGTTTCGTCACATCTTTTAATTAACAATCGATCTCGAAATAATATAATTTTTTTGATCATTTGATCATTGAACGAAGATCTATCTAAAATGAATAATTGAATAACATTAAAATATGTCAAATACATTAAAAATGTCAAATGTTATATAAATTATATAATTATATAAATTAATCTGAAATATCAAAGTTACACAAATTTTTATCTTACTACATACACGACATTTTTTTTTTAAGTCGATTGATACGTGAGGAAGGAGACTCAAAAAGATTGAACGAATGACGTACGCATCTCAAATTGTATTAAATTTTCCATTTTATTATCTGAAATTTTGAGCGGTTGACCAGGCTCCCCTTTCGATTTATACAAGCTTTCATTTTGAACGTGTCGGTCTCTAACACACCCCGGTCGACGCCGCCGACCGTGAAACAATGTACTCCGTAACGACGGTGTGCCTTGTTCCTCGCGCCTGGATCTTCTTCCTGTTTTTCTCTTCGCTGCCTCTTCGTGTTTGCGGCGGTCGCGCTCATCGAAGACGCTATTAAATTCAGCGCCACACCGTCGCGACGATAGCGCGCGCTCCGTCCCGCCCGCTTAAACCTACGTCTACCGTTCCCTTTCTCGCACACGCGGAATTGACACATTGAGAATCCCGCACCGTCATCCCGCTGCCATTTTACGTTAACTTCTTTTCAATATTTTTCTTCGTCAATACACGAATAAAACACAATACACGCTAATAAAAACATGTTTAAAAAAGGAACCGGGTTCGTATAATTTTGTATGTGTACTATGTTATTTCGAAGAAAGTTAAAAAATGAGAAGTTTTTTAAAAATGTTACGATTTTAAATGTTAATGTCCCTAAATCGTCGGCACATGTTTTAATGATTCGATTAAATTTGCAGTCGACTTTTTAAAAAAGATTAAGAGATTATTTCGCATATTTCCAAATTTCTAACATGAAATAAAATTAACATTTCTATTTTGGTTCAATTTTTGTTCAAAATTCCTTCAAAATAAGACTTATTCAAAATAGATAAAATTTTCTCGATATTTTCATGTCATTGCAAAATATATATATAACTGAATATAACAATAATCTTTTATTAATCTGATCTCTATCCATAAAATGCGTGCCGATAATTCAGAGACACCCAGTATACACCGGTAAGAGCGAACAGGATCGGTCTGAACCTGATGTGCCAGCGTAGGGTTATCTTCTCGTTAAAATGTATACACGCCGGTCTCCTCGCACACTTTCCTACTACCTATACACGCGAGAATACGCGCGCGATTTTCGACAGGTATCGCGCAATATCTTCGATTTTCTGTTTCTATCGCACAGATAATTGCCCGTGTTCACACACAATCGGGACACGCCCGCACACACGCGATCCTTTCGTTCCTCTCGTTTTCGCGAGGGCGAGCCCCGTGTTTTTTTTTTTTTCGTTTGTTATAAATATTGGCGTTGGTAAGAATAGCGATATATGTATATATAGTTAATGGCAATTCCATTATGCACAATGGTATGCCGCGTACGCGTAACTACCGCTACGCATGCACGTACGCGTCTTACGCGGCTGGCGAAAACGTATTACCTCGCTTTTTTTTCGCCGTTAATCGATCCGACGAGCTCTGTCGCCCGTTTCTCGAAAGATACTCTCCTCGTAAAGTTATCTTTATGTGCGTATAGAATTTCAGCGACAACAACCCTCGGAGAGTCTTCGTTTTTCTTGTGAGATATATTCGAGAGAGATCGCTCCGCGAATCGATTATATTAGAATATAATATTTAAAATTCTTTCAAAGATTTCGTTTCGTTAACATTCATTATTTTACTACCGCGTTTTGATTAAAATTCAAATATTCAAAAAATTAAAGTATTGTACTGATAATGGGATGTGCAATGGACAGGAGATCAATGGGAAAGCTTGACGTGCGATGTGATCTAAAAATTTGAATTCCTGAAATTCGAATCATATGATAATTTTGATGAGTTCCGATTTCGTGCAGAAACACGGAGGTCTCCGTGTTCATTCGTGACAAAGGAACGCAAATATATCCGACATAAAATATCTAGTATATTTCTTTTCCACCATTGGCATTGAACTCATCAAGATTATATCGATCTTTCTACTTAAACGGTCTTCGATGGAATTGCATTACTGCTGATAAACAATTCCGATGACACGGTGAACGACGGCAATCGCACTAAATGGAACACAAGTTACACTTATTTTGTTTTAGCGTTAACTTTTATTTGAACAATTTAACGTAACGTCACTGTTAATCAGCAGTTACAATGATGATCATGACGATGAGATACGTAATAATGTTGTTGAAATGAAAGAATCTTGGCAAACATCCACGAGCGTGTGTGTGCGTGGTGATCGTCGAGGTAACAACGGCGATCGTCGCGGATAATCCACAACGTGTTAGGAACCGGAAACGGATACGGACGAGGATTTCCTTGGACGATCTTCGCTACTGCGACTCGTTGGATTCGTCGTAGGGCGGATTATGTCGCATCAACCTATTTTTATCCATCGATCAATCGAATATTCGAGGGCGGCTACCCACCTGAAACAATAGTAAGAAATTATTTGTGGTAGATGTAGTGATATGAAAAAAATATATATATATGTATATATATATATAAAGAATTTTAATCAATTATATTTTACAATTTTACGAAAAAAAATATATTTGCACACACATTTTGTTATACGCAAAGAAATAAATAAACGTGTCGCGTTTATTAGATATCGGAATTATAGAAATGAAAATGATCAACATCCGCTTATTTACCGTTTCTTATCCATCTCTGAGTCGCTAGCGAAGACATAGCTCCTCTGCGTGGGATCCGGTGGTTGCAAATCAAAAGCATGCTTCCTGCCGCCGGAAGTCCGCGGTGCGCTGCACACCCTGAAGCCGTGCAGACACGCCACGCCAAACGCTTTCTCGGCGTTGGCGTCATCGTAGAAATATAGCGCGGCGTCCTTCAGCACGCAATATCGTTTGGACCAGCCGGTGGGCGAGCACGTTTTCCGCGCGTGATCCTGCTGTTTGTACAAATACCCGAAACAATCTGGCCTCGGAATAGTCCATGCAGCCATCTCTCTCATTTTTAGCGAAGAGTCCAACCAAGTGTCAATCTAAAGTAGACATCGAATATTCATTTTTTAAAAAAAGTTTTGGCTAAAAGAAGTGAGAAAAAATAAACAAGTTTATAAAAGAATGTTCAAACGCGGGCATCGCATATCTGTAAACACTTTATAAAACTATATTTAAGTATATAGTGTTTATTTTAAATAAATAGTTAAAAAGAAATTAAATAGCTCGCGCGTAGGGCGATTCACTTTGCATTACCTGATTGTTCCTCTCAACAGCTTCGCGTATAACCGTAATCCATCGATTTGCCGCTTCCTCGGTATCGGCCGCCAGCCGTAACGTTGGAGCACCCTTTTTCTTTATCGCAAAACCGTGCACTCTCAATTCAGGCGTCTGCTCCACATCGTACTTGAGGAGCATCACCGCTCCCACCGGTTGCGAATCCTGTTACGACAAGTACACTTTAAGCAGAAATTGACTCTCGACTCGCGAAAATTAATCCTCCGCGATTTCCACTTCGAATTTTCAAAATTACATTAATCCTATTTTTTCGCTTCTAGATAAAAAAATACACTTATTTTATTTTTTATTAAATGCCTTCCTTTTATTGTGATTCCATAAATAAAAGAGATTCTTCGCGTAGATATTCGCAGACATTGCCTACTTGCTTGTACTTTTCAGAGTTAGAACTGATAAATCTCGCTTACCGAGTCAGTCTTATAGCAATACAGGCAGTTATCGCGGCGTAGAGCGAACCATCGTCGAACCCACTTTTCCATGCTCGACGTGGATTTCCTCCACAAGTACCCCGAGCAGAGTGGTGCCTCTTCAGTGCTCTCCTTCTTTTCAGCAAGACGCGGCGCCAGCACGTTGCACGTTCTCGCGACTTCTAATTCCAGAACATCCGGGCCGGTGTGCGCCAGTTTCACGATCTCCGAGTGCGTAAAGTCCAGAACGTTCATGCCGCACACCGACATGATGATGTCGCCAATCTCCAGGCCGGAATTCTCCGCGGGCGTGTCTGGCTCGATCGCGGAAACCACCACCGGCTTCGAGCTATGAATGCGGAATCCAAACTCGCCGCCAGCTTCGCGTTTCACAACTACCCTCTTGTCGCTTTCTGCAAGTATGAAACATATAGCAACAGTTTTTTAAATAAATGATTCGACAACTGAATTCTTTGCAATCGGCAGAAGTTACTTCTTTTATATTTTCAAAAAATTTTACATTCAAAAAATTTGAACTAATATACATATACATATACATATATTATACATATGTATACATATATTCTATACCTTTTTGTTATATTTATAAAAATATGTAAACGAATATTTCAAAATGTACCTTTAAATTTACAGATTTTCACCAACCAATAATAATTGTATAATTAATTTATTAACATTTGAAATTAAAGAGGAAAATCTGATTAATTCTTATTTATGCTTATGGAAGAAAACATACATTTTCTTTATCATGATTTTGTAGGTTGAAACAAAAGATTAATTCGCTGTAATCCCTCTTAATAGGATTTAATATGCAACATATCCGAGCCCACTGGACGGATTATATTTAGACGAGACGCATTTAATATACGCGAACAAAGGGAATCGTACGTGAAGTGGTTTAAATCGTTAATCCCCGCGCTTTACACAACCACACGCTACACGTGATATCGAGTGACGTACCGCGAGAATAGTGCGACACGATTATGTCCACGCGAGCACAATCGGGCAGGCAAATCGGTCGCTCTAGATCAGAGAGAGGGCCGAAGCGGAAGAAAAAAAAAATGCATCGGCGATGGCACGCGACGGTAGACCGGTAGACGTTCCACGCAAAAAGAGGCGACGCGAGGGGTGCGCGCCGCGTCAGCGCGTGGTGCGCTACAAATGTAATCGAGCATATTTAGAGCCCAGACCTTTTCCTTCGTATATAGTGATACAACGAGGTGACTCCGGAGTCTCCGCCGTCATCGTGCCACCATCGTGTGCCGCTTTTATTTTTGCGCCACTGCAGGCTTTATCCATTTTAGTCCTCGCTTTGATCATGAACGTGAAAGACGCTGGAAAAAGCGCAACTTGATCGTGCGCGCGAAGTTTATCATGTACGGCATCATAAGCACTGCCGGGTATAGCGGATATACATAGAGAGAGAGAGAGAGAGAGAGAGAGAGAGAGAGAGAGAGAGAGAGAGAGAGAGTCGGTAAAGTGATAGTGCGTAATACCCCCTTCCCCCATTTATATCCCCTAGGTTCACCGTACGTCCGTCTATGAATGCTTTGATCCGTTTAAGCCCGATTAGAAAAACTGTCGGGACACCAATAATGCCACAGCCGTGAATGTCAGTAAATGCCACGTTTCATCAATGAATTAGATCGTCTTACGATATATGCGAGCTGTACTACACAAGCGCATACTTGATAATGGCAGGTGATTGAGACATCCAAACCTGAATGCCTCGGCGATTCTTGGCCGACGTTCGACTTGTCGTCAGTGGTTACACCTTGCAACTTTTGTATCGAGATATAGCACACACCTTTGGGCCACAGATATTTGTGTCGTCGTTAATTTGGCGCCAGACAGCGTTTCATGAATAGAAATTAAGCCATAAATACAAATTATCTCCGCAGTCTCCGAGTAGTTGTAATAATAAGACTCTCTAGGGAGCGTCATAATTATAATTAAATGTCGCGAGACGAAAAAGTTAATCTCTGTGAAACAGTTGAAGAAAGATTTTTTTTTAAAAAGGCTAAATAATGAATTTAAAAATTCATATAGAATTTATTAGGCACCAAGATCCAGCCGTGACCGTAGAAGGCGCTCTCAAATTTATTTGTGTTTTCACATACGTGGTTTAATTCAAATTGAAGATTTTTGTATTTTTCTGCATATCTTATTTGCACATTGTTTTATTTATTGTATATAAACATTTCTTAGAATAAATATTATCGATCGTAATATATCAATCTAGTGAATCTCAATATGATTTGTATATTGCACAATTTCAATTTTGACAAGTTTAACGATGAGGAAACTCGAAACGCCATCAGGCAACTGACGCAAGGGTCATTCATCATAACCGATCGATCCCGATTGGCATTTTTATTACTTTTTCCCCAAAATATTTTTTTCTATCCGCGAAAATAAAACTTTACCCGTTTACCTGTCGCGCCAAATCTCGCCAGAGCTTGACTCTCCCTACACCAGACTCTGAGCATGGACTTAAACAGTTCCTCCAGAGCTTGCTTCAATGTCACGTCCTTGTCCACTTCCGTCGTGCACTCGGAACCCGCGGAGTTGCACACCATCGTCGGTTGTCAATGGAACTGCAGATTCGAGGCAGCAGAAGAGATTTATCGCGCTCGCGGGCTGCTCTCCCCTCGCGCTCCACGACTTTATCGATATCGAAGACAACCGCCACCTCCGACCGGAAGACGCGGAGGTACACGCTCGCGTTCGCGTGCGCGCGCGCGGTCGCGGATGAACTCGCGGGATGTACACACAGAAAACGGCGGATTCGCGAAGACGACGGCTCGAGCCAGCGGCCTCGTGGAATGCGACTCGGCGCCCTGACCCACTGACTGCCAGCCAAAAGCTCCTTCTTCGAGTCACCTCCCCGCCGGTCCCCTCATCCCCCTCGGCATATACCCTGGCCCCAGCGCGCTCCCGCGGTTCGCGAGCGCCGCGGCCGCTGCACTTCTCCGCGTCGTCTTCGCGCGCGGACACAAATCACTTCTCCCCCTAACTTCGTCTTCCTTCTTCTTCGCCGCGGACGAGCGCCGGACTTAACGTCCCGCTCGACGGCTGGCTCGGGTGGATTATATTTAGACGACGGAGTATTACGCGGTGCTTATTTAAAGAATCGGGAAGAAACGCCTCTCTCCCTCTGCACCTACCTTTCTTCCTTTACCCGCGCCTTTTTTTTTCTGCTTGTTGTCATGACCTAATTCTTTTCTCTTCTTTTCTCGACCTCTTAATCTCTCTCTCTCTCTCTCTTTTATTTTGTATATTTTCGGTCTCCTTTGCACATTATGCTAATTCATTTTTTTTCTCTTTTTTATTTTGCTTTTTCTGATTTTTCTTTGAATTGTATTAATTCTGAATATTATATTAATTCTGTTTGTTCTTAGAGGGCTTGTCCTAAAGCACGAATAAACACTTAATCAATCAATAAATCGCTCTTCCTCTTCGTAATTTAAATATTCTTAAATATTCACGACAGCTTACTTTGCACTCACAGTTATGCATATAATACTGCGAATGTAACTTTACTATAATCCTTATTTCTGCAAGGAGATATTTGATCTAAATTGCATTACTTTCCGTAATCTCTCTGATTGCCCTCGGAGAAACTACGTCGGATTATTGAAATAAATTTTATTCATTTAACTTTCTGACACCGTAATCCATTTGTTTACGTATCTCCTCTGTCTCGCGTCTCATTTCTGAGATACCCTCCTTTTTTTCTTCTCTCCTTCCTCTCCACTTCTTTTCCCGCGTCTCTTTTACGCTTCACCTCGCCCCCGTTAGCTCGCTATCTTAACTCTTCCTCTCGACGGCAGATATATCGCAGGATGCTTTCGCAGAGACGGTTTAAGAACATTCCTCGGCGATGCGGCGTTGAAGCGGCTCGTTTGTGCCGCGTCGGACGTCATCCGTCGAATGATCTCACGGCGCAGAGATTTTGGAATGCGGCTTAAGAATTTCTAACATTGGACGCGAACGATTATAGAACAGCTACAACCGATAAAACCGTGATTAACGATCGTGCTAATAGGTGTTCACGAATTTAACGCTTAAAAGATTAACATCTCGGAAAGTTCATGTGATTTATGTGCTTTTAAACTGACCGTCGAAATATATGAAACGATTGTAGTTTTTATTATCATTTCTCTCAAATGTCTTGCAAATGTTTTTCACACTTGAGCTAGCATTTTTTATAAAATTCTCCGCAGCTTCCTCGCAAATGAAAATTTTCAATTTTTTGCCGAATAATCGATCGTAAAATAACGAATGATAAAAAGATATAAAACGTACGACATGAAAACTTTATGTCAAAAAAAGCGATAAAAAATTATATTTAATCCGACTTACTTAAACGATTCGTTTGTATCCTCTTGTACATTTCACCGCTGCTCTTTCGATGTACCATTCTATGCGTGGCCACCTCGTACCTCTTCTTAAAATTCTTTTCGCTCTCCGTAGATTCTTGAGAATCCCGTCGCTTCTTATGGACGCTCTCCTCGAGGTCGTCACCATCTCTGCTGTCAGGTCTTTTCCATACGAGACTCTCCTCGAGATCTCCGATATAAATCCATTCGCTACTTAAGTACGGTTCCACGTAAGTATCCTCGTCTTCTCTTCCTGTCATTAAAAAAAATGGCATACCTATATATCATGTTTACTTTTTGACGCATCTTTATTTACATATAGTTTTACAAAGAAAAAAGTCTAGAATTTTTTATTATTTCAAAGCAATATTAAGGCAAAGAATATAATTAAATAAAATATAAATTAACCTCGAGTGATGTATAAAATCATTTGTTTTAAATATTTTACTTTTTTATCTCTAATACATCCATTAATCCAAAATTACAAACTTTACAAAATTTTGTTATTTACATATTTTTGAATTTACCTGTAAGAATTTCCAAACTGGCATCGGTGCTTCGAGCTTGCAACTTTCTCCTGCCCGTGTCGTCGATTGAACCTCTGCTTCCGGGTTGATGGGTGGCTCTTTCCTCCGATTTGGCTCGAATATCCGATCTACCGGCGCTGCTGCGACGATGCCTACGGTCTCCTCGATCTTCCGATCTGTACCGCTTGTCGAACTTCTTGTACAACCGATGTCCTGTAACGTGCTTGGAAGTTGTTCTGTGTCCCTCTGGGGAGTCCGCAAAACCTGCCGGTGGTCGAACGATCTCTTCCGACACCTCGGGAGTGAAGCAACAGGAGGGCATACACGATAGAGAAAGAAGGCAGATAGACAGACAGGTAAATAGATAGAAAGAAGTTCTACTTTGCATTCGTATTTAATCTTGTGTTCCTCGTGCGATTGAGCATTTACGGTATTGAAATAGAGATGCATAGATGCTTGTGACTTATAATATTAAAATTGTTATATATATTCTCGTTTACTTTAATTTTTTAAGTAGATATTTAAAATTTTCAAAAATCTATATATGCTATAAAATCTATTTCGGTTAATGTACAAATTGTGGAAGAAAAATAGCGCATGAATCGATATTTTTATAATTATTAAAATTAAAATATCTGCAAACTTTTCTTATACTGTTTAAAGAAATTATATTATTTAAGCTTCAAAGATATTTTTATCTTTAACGGAAATATTTTTACTTGTAATATAATGTCTTATTATTTTGGAAATAATACTCGTAAAAAATAATGTATTGAAAAATATATTGAAATTAATTTTGAAGGAAGAGCATAAGTCTACACGCTACTTCTAAATGCGCTACGCGTTTACACAATTCATTAACATATCAAGCAAAAGCAAAAGTCACTTGTACTACGACTACAAAAAATAAATGAGACCTTTAAAAGGGCAAAGATTACTATTCAGAGGATTACTACGATATTCTGAGCGCTAAAATTCTAAGAAAATAATTTTCTTTGATTCGTCAATATTTAGAAAATTACAGAAATTAATTTAATAACAAAATTTAATATAGAAATTAATTTAATATACTTTGCATATCTTTTACTCGCAATAAAGTATTCTAATTTGAAACTACGATAAAGCTGCAGAAATATTAGATGCACTTTATATCGTTCCTTCTAGTTTTTATTTTACAAAACTGTTGCAAGAGAAAGCTTCCGAGTAAGCAAGTACAGTATAATGTCATTAAATGTCCTATTAACTCTTTGCACTTAAAATCTCCTCTTGTCTGTCAGACAATTCAAAATTATTTTTATGCATTATCAATGTCGCGTTGATCAAAAACAATTAGAAAAACCTAAACGTCACGAAATTGAACGTATTCTCTTTTAGAGAGCGCGTGACGAAACAATATTGTCCTCGCAAAGAGGTCATCTCGGAGCAAAGGGTTAAAGTGAAAGACAAAATGAATAATGCACATAAGTAATATATCACCTCTCTGCCACAATGGTGACAGTGCGCGGCGTCCAAAGCGGCGATGGAGATGCAGGCCTGATCGGCGCTCTCGCTGTAAAAGACACTGTCGCTGCCCGGGCTGGCGGACCTCAACGATTCCGCCGACATGGCTTTCAGTCTCGCCTCCGGGCTTTGTGCATCTATGACGAGCGCTCGCTGACCGTTATGCCCTGGACTGCGCTGATAACGGCCAGGACTCAGGCGACTGGAGCAAACTATGTCGTCCGCGACGCGGGACTTCCTTCGCGGTAAACTGCCCGTTATCGCCGCGTTCTTATCCTGCACAACGCGATTGTACATATGTAGATGTAGGATGCGCGAAGAAGAAAGAAAAGGGGTTTCGAATTTTTTCTTTGTTAATAAAATTTAATCAAATTAATTCAAATTTTTTCTTTGTTAATAAAAAAAATGACGAGGTACCAAGTGTATTGACGATCGTCGTATGCTTACCTCTGTCGTGCTGCGTCTTCTCGTGGAAATATAACCGGTGGTCTTTCTTCTCGGACTCTCCCTGATCCGACGATGCACCCTCCCGCTCTCCGCACCCTCCCGATGCGCGTGATGATGGTGATGATGGTGCATGTGGTAATGATGACTGCAGCTCGAATCGTCGGACGTCAGTGCGTGCGGACCGTCCTCGGTCTGCTCGAGCCTCCATTCCTCCTTCTGCGGACTTCTGAGCGTTTGTTGCTGTTGCTGCTGCGCCGGCTGTTGCACGGCGTCCCGTTTTTTGTTATTTCGATGAGGACTCCGAGTTAACGTTGGCTTGCTGCGCGACCGGTGACGATGGCTAGGCGTCGGGCTGACCTCGACGTTCTCCGGATACGCCGGCTCCGCGGCGTGCTCCAGTTCGACGTTGCTCGACGTCGCGCCGAGGAAGTCCAAGCTGAAGGTTTTCTTCTTTCGACGGCGTTCCTCTTCGCTCCACATACGAACGTCAGGCGGCGACTCGGCGTAACCTCCGGACGACGATCGATGACCCTCCTTCGAAGTGAAGCAATAAATCTTTTTGTGATTAATAAAAATTTTATTTTATATTTAATATTTTATATTCATTTTATACTTTATTGTATTATTATATCAGTTAGAGGAAATTTTACTGGGTAAATATCTTTAAACTTTTTAACAAATTTAAATATTTTTGTAAGTTTATATAATATCGCGAACTTACATCTCGATCTAATTCAGTTTCTGAGGTATGCCCGCTGCGTGGAGCGACTTGCTCTAAATCGTTATTCGGATCCACCATCGCGTCTTTTAGATCGTAGCTACCTGAACTACTGCTGCTGCTAGACCTCATTGTCGGTGGAGGTAGTTCTAATCCAAATGGAATTTCCTCTAAAATTGGCGGCGGACTACACGGTTCTTCGATAACGGCCTGATGAGGTAAAGTGCAAATACAATTTTAATTAGAACCTCTTTTGCTAATTTGATAAAATTCTTCTGTATGATAAACTTCAAATTTTATCTTGAAAAAAATTAAAGTTTAATTTAGAGCAGCAATATAAGTTTAAAATTAAGTTTATTTTTCATTTAGTTTTTAATAAAAAAATTAAATTTCTCGAGAAATGGCAAGAAATTAAGTCGTAATGTGCAGTTATTAAAGCAATTATCTTGCAAATTCATCTAAATTGTTCAATTTAAATATCCATCTCGCTGGAATAACTGCAGGCATAATTGAAGTGTAACTGGACGAGCATTTACCTCGCTCCTCGCCAGGCTGTAAATCGAGCTCGCGCTTTCGAAGGAGCTGCCCTCCGCGGCGGTCGCGGTGGTCGAAGCGGGCGCCGACGCCGCGGCGCTGGACGTCTGCGGTGGCCGCGACCAGGAACTGGTCGTGGCGGACGTGCCTGTAGTGGTCCCAGTTTCCGTAGAAGTATTGGCAGTGACGTAATCCTCGGAGGTCTCGGAGATGTCGGTGTTTGTGCGTCCGCCCGAGTCGGTCCTCGCCAGGCTCAGACCAAACTCGCTCGACGACTGCGACTGCGGCTGCGACAACGGCGGACATGGACTCGCGCGGCGTAATCCACTTCTCGGTCGGCCGTTAGAAATAGACGATTCGATACTGGGAAGAGAAACGTAAATTTTAAATCGAAATCATGTGCGGAGGAAAGGATCAGGGGTGAAAAGCGGGGGCATCAACTTCAATGTTATGGGATCAACTTTGTATGTACATTGATTGCGACGTTACAAAGGCAAAAATATATACATTGACGATAACACATTTCTTAAGGGAAGGTGAGGATGAAATCTCTGCGTTGCTACAAAGTCCCTAGTTACATGTTTGCTGCGATATTGGGAGATTACTTGTAATGGTATTTTTCAATGTTCTATTACGCAAATAAATATCGACAAACAAATATGAAATGTAACTGAATGTTAGATTGATTGATTATTATTATTGCAAAAAGCCAAGGAAAAGAATATTTACAAAATTATATTTATAATCTTGAAAAATTATAATGCATTGTATTATATTATTTATAATGTATTTATAAGTTTCAGAGGGTAATGAACTTTGAGCAAACATTATCCTGCAATTTCTATATATTTAATATATAGAATATTTTTTAAAAATTGTAAGAAATAATTCCATAGAGAAATTGTTAAAAATACCTAATATTCTTTTTGTAGAAAGAATAATCATAGTAAATGTGATATCAATTATTGAAATTATTATCTATCATTTTAATTGTACTTCTTGCATACAGGAATGTATGTCCACTCAAATTTATGTTATATTACTAATTTATGTACAATAATTAAATATGTACAATAATTAAATATTTTGAGATGCATGTTCTAAGGATGATTTATCAAAAATGGTTTAAAATTTAAAATTTAGGGAACTACTATAAAACCAGATCAGAACGTGTTATAGCCTTACATATCGTACGCATAAAAATGTGCTGTGGATACATCATTGTAGTAAATTTGTTGAAACTGTACTGGTAACAGATCTTGTATTCTGTAAGAACGTCTGTAAAAAGTACCTCCTATAAGTAAAGTAATATACAACAGTGCGCCGATTTGAAATACTCTTTTGATATCTTTTTAATAAGAGCATCAGATTTATTGCTCCGCATTAACAATTTCAATTTTTATTTAATTTCTTTCTCTACCGTAGAATTCTCCTAAAACGAATTATCGTACGCTTACCTTGGTGTGAGAGGTTGCACCGGAGTGGCCGGTTCCAGACGTATTCTCGGACTCGGCGGGCAAGGCTCCAGCTCGTCTTCCACGTCCAGAGCCTCGGTGTCCATCGAGGAACGTTGCTGATGTTGCAAAAGCAGGAGATGTCGCCTCCTCGAGGATGGCGTCAGGAGAGCTAACGAGTCAGCTTGGAGAACCGTCGCCTGCGACTCGTTCCATATTCCGTCGCTGTGGTCCCTGGTCACGTCATTCGTTAAAGAGTCACTCGAGGCGAACGGTGAAGTCACCTGGCCGATGATGTTGGCACCGGTGATGCCGGTCCCGGTACTATAAGTGGGCGGATAGACCGCGGTGTGTAGTAAGGCGCAGGTGGGCAACGAATCGTCCTTCGGGGTTTGCGAGATTCTTCGCGTTGCTGAAAGATATCGGTTGGTTGTATCGTACAAGAATTTTTTCATTAACGCAGCGTGAGGAATATTATTGTAGAGTCGAACCTCGATAACTCAAACCTCTCTATAACTCGAAAATCGCTCGAATTTTTTCCTTTAATAGCCATTATAATCGGAAAATTATAAACTCTCGTACAAAGCTTCCGTAAGCCAAAGTTTCACATATGTTAACTCTCTTTTACTCAATAAGTCTCTTTTACTCGATAAGTCGAAACCTCTATAACTCGACGATTTTTATAGCACTTCCCTTGAGATTCGAGTTATCGAGGTTCGACTGTATTGTAATAATTGTATATATTATGGTCGTAATTATTATAATAATATTATAATATATTATTATATAATAATATAATAATAATAATAATATTATAATAATACACACTTGCTGCTGCGGTTGGCGACGTAGGTGAGGTCGGAAGTGACCTAGGAAGCATAAAGTCGTCTGACGACAAACCTTGTACACCATCCTCAAGGGATACGCTTCTTTTCCGGAAGAGACCGCGGCGTATTAGATTTTCATGGAACTCCTAAAAAGATGTGGATATTTTACAAAAATTTCATCTAATATATCGCGATAAATTTTGATCGACAAAATACATTTCGAAATATATTTACCTCTTCGTGATTATCCTCGGGAGGCGAGAGACTTCGTAATAAGGACAGATCCTCGGGTGTCGAGGAAAATTGGACGGGTGCTCTGACAGTTCTGCCCCAAGGATCCTGCTGATTCCTTCTGCACGTGTGAGGATAACTCGGCTCGCTACTTTCGCCAATGAGCTCGCGTCTCTCGACACGGATTTCCCCATCGGAGAAGGTCTTCTGGAGAGGAAGGAATCGACGGGTGGGCTCAGAGATCCGGCTGAGAAGCGCCCGAGCGTCTGGCGACACCGGCGCCGGTTTGAAATTTATAAAAATCTCCTGATCGTCTATATCGAGAGATTTACGATGATGTTGATGACACTGAAACACAGAATAGAGAATTTACTATTAAATGATTTACTATACTCTTTATCGATTTGATGAAATTGTATTTATAATTGATTGACTGTATCGACGTTGTGTCAAATATAAAAATGTTTCTACGCTCAGTAGATTAAAGCTCTTTGTAAAATATAAAGGTTTATGTAAAAATACTTACAATGCCAATAGGAACAAGCGCGATATCTCCATTTGGCAAGGTCTCTTCAACAACGACAGTGGTGACAGAAGGAATTGGCGGTGGTGTTGTTGAAATAAGAAAAGGTGACCTCGGTGGCTCTTCACTTTGAGTCCTGTGAAGCGGCTCGTGCTCACTTTCTTCTTTCGCCGGCGCACCCTGGCTACCAAGAGGCGTCCCTAATTGTCCAGCTTCCGAGTAACTTTTGGTCAATTTTCTACCGTTGAAAACACCGTTCGTTTGAGCACCCTGCGAAACCATCTTGACACGATGGATGGTTCTGGGACTGAGAGTCACCGGAAGTATACGACCGCGGAACATCGGCGGAAGCTCGGTCTGCGTCGCCTGAGTCTTCATGGCACCGCGTTTGGGTGGTTTCTCTGGAACAAATAAATTGCTACAAATCTCTCTCTCTCTCTCTTTCTCGGCCACAAACTAGGCGAATTGAAATTTGTAAGCTGTAAACAAGTTTATCGACTCATTACAGCAAGCTTGTGAGAGAAGCTTTTAAATAAGCTTTAATTAGTTTACAAAAAGTTTTAATTAATTTTAAATATTATGGATACTTAGTACTTTAAATATTTGAATAAAGTAATAAATAATGTTTCCGGGTAAAAATAATGCCTTATTAAAGTCAATTTATCAATTAAGGATCTGTAAATGAATTTGTCATGCAAATTTTATAAAGACAAGATTAACTTCAAATTTGTCAAAAGAACTTATTAAAATAAAATTTAGTTACAGTTTCACTGTGTATTTTACTTGATATTCTTTGATAATCCGGAACAATAATAGAAATTTATTCTGCATCGCATTCAAATGTATTTATTCTTCGCTCTTTCATTTTGCTTTGAAAAATTTTATCAGATCACAGTTCTTTGATCCATGTTAGTCGAGCTTATAGCGAGCTTTGCCGTCGTCAAACCGGCCGCGAGTAAATACATAATTCTAACTACTTTCCCCACATAATCTATGATACTTGGCTCGGGATCAAAATAGCGAGACGATGTGGATTGTGAATCAACCGTGCGCAATAAGGAAGAGTTTAAATCTTAATAAATTAATAACTTATTTTCAACCGGGACCAATATGAAATTCTATTTGTAATTTTATAATTGATATTCTATATTAGTTACAGTTTACTTTATATTAGTTAACTTTATATTAATATATTAAAGTAGAAGCCGAATGCGAGCCAACACGGATGATATAGTGTGTAATAATTTGTTACAATATCCCATTACACGCAAATTGCGCGCCGCATATTCGTCGATCTTGAAACACAGTTACAAGTTTATTACATGAGGCCGGAATAACTTGTAACAAGTTAAATCGATGATCGATTCAATCTCTTTGATGCTAAATACGCATCTACAAGATCCCCTTCCTCCCGAATCTGTAAAGAATTTATTGCGAAAAATATCACCTCAGCTGCTCTCAGCTAAGTTATTCCGGCCTCATGTAATGAACTGTGTTTCAAGATCGACGAATATGCGGCGCGCAGTCTGCGTGTGATGGGATATTGTAACAAATTATTACACACTATATCATCCGTGTTGGCTCGCATTCGGCCTCTACTTTAACATGTTTGATTCTAGAGAGCCTATTTCTTTAAATTATTTATATTAATAGTTTATATGTATGTGTACACTCGCTCACTAAAAGGTTGCGACACTTTTTTTTTATAGGTTTCTAATTTATATTTAATATACGTAATATATACTTTATAGATAACTAATATTTTGCAAATGCAAACCACGATGTACTATCTTTAGTCTA